GACAGGGGCGGACTGACCATTCGAGTACTAGGGCACTGCCCGAGGTCAGTAGGGGGCCCCATGAGATGCCCCTGGTACCTTTTCATTGGCTTTTTTGGGTGTTGGTGAGGACAAAGGGGCCCAATTATCCCCTATTGCCCGGGGGCCCCATGAGTTGTCAGTCCGCCCCTGGTCCAAGAACAATAATTCTACAACCAGACCACCTCTGTAACTCTAAACCGGTAACCTGCAAAAATATTTAAAGCGTTCCCTATGGAGATTCTTAAGTACTGTAGTTTGGCACCATTCCACGGGCATACACAATTTTAAAACCTGACATGTCGGGTATCTATTTACTCTGTGTAACATCATCTTTATACATTTTACCCAAAAATTGGGTATTATATTGTGTTTGTGTGCAATAAAATTAAGGTGTATTTAAAGAAAAAAAAAATTGCAGAACCCACGCATTTATTTATTTAGAGCCTCTGCAAAAAATACATAAAATATTTAAAATGTTTGGGGGTTTGAGGTAATTTTCTAGGAAATTAAAAAAAGGCAGATTTTTACATGTAGGAGAGAAGTGTCAGATTTGGCCTGGTGGGAAAAGGTTCATGATAATTTTTGAGTTTTGGGTACCATCTCCCTTGTGCCATCAACAACTCCAACCCATGACCACGGAGCTCCTGCTTCACACCACATCGAGAGTGCCATGCATTGGTTCAACACTCCATTACCCTCCATGTGCCACCCACTTCTCCCGTTTATTGTACTCTCACTTGTGCCAGTTATAACTCCCACATACCATAGGATACCCAGAGCTCCTTCCCCACACCACTTCTTGAAGTGACCTCCACCTTCCACAGGTTCCCATCCCAGTAATTAACCCTGTGTTTTTTTTTTTTCAAAAGTCGCTTTGAAAGTTCGTTTTATTGACTCATCTGCTACCTATTGGGCCTTTTTTTGTGTTTCTTGATTTGCAAATTTGTGTTGGAAGAGCTGCAGACTACAATCCTATGACCAAAAGTATGTCAACACGCCCTCCAAACGGCCTTCTTTCAGGTGCACAAATCATGTAAATACATGGTTTAAGGCGTTTGGCTTGGAGGAACTCTAGTGGCCTACACAGGGCCCTGGCTTCAGCCTTGTTGAACACCTTTGGGTTTAATTGGAACACCAGTTGTGAGCCAGGTCTTCTCCATCATCAGTACCTGACCTCACAAAAATTCTCTTTTGGCAGAATGTGAATAAATTTACATACACAATCAAATTTTGTGGAAAGCTTTCCAGTAAGCTGTTATAGCCGCAATAGGGGGATCAAGTAGATGCCCATGTTTTTAGAATAGGATATTCAACAATGTTTTTTTTTTTTTTAGATGGTTAGGTGTCCACAAACTTTGGCCATATACACTATGTGCACAATTATTACGCAAGTGAGTATTTTGACCAAATCATCTTTTTTATGTATATTGTCCAACTCCAAGCTGTATAAACTTGAATGCTTATTGGGTTTAAGCACATCAGGTGATGTGTATTTGTGTAATGAGGAGGGTGGGTGTGGCCTAAGGAGATCAACACCCTATATCGAGGTGTGCATAATTATTAGGTAGCTTCTTTTCTCCAGGCAAAATGGGCCAAAAAAAAGAGAATTAACTGACTGAAAAGTCAAAAATTGTATAAAGTCTTTCAGAGGGATGCAGCACTCTTGAAATTGATAAGATATTGGGGTGTGATCCCAGAACCATCAAATGTTTTGTTGCAAATAGTGAACAGGGTCGTAAGAAATGTGTTGCGTAGAAAGACAAATTCTCTGCCAAAGATTTGAGAAGAATCAAAGGTGAAGTTACTAGGAACCCATTATCCTCCAGTGCTGTCATATTCCAGAACTGCAACCTACCTGGAGTGCCCAGAAGTATGAGGTGTTGCGTGCTCAGAGACATAGCCAAGGTAAGTAAGGCTGAAACCCGACCACCAATGAACAAGTCACACAAGTTAAAATGTCAAGACTGGGCCAAGAAATAATATCTCAAGACAGATTTTTCAAAGGTTTTATGGACTGATGAGATGAGAGTGATTCTTGATGGACCAGATGGATCTGCCCATGGCCCGGATCAGAAAGGAACAGAGCTCCACTGCGACTCAGATGCCAGCAAGGGAGAGGTGGAGTACTGGTATGGGCTGGTATTATTAAAGATGAGCTAGCTGGAACTTTTCTGGTTGAAAATGGACTGAAAATCAACTCCCAAACCTACTGCCAGTTTTTAGAAGACCCTTTCTTCAAGCAGTGGTACAGGAATAAGTCTGTATATTTCAAGAAGACCATGAAATGTATGCAGGACAATGCTCCATTGCATCCAGTGATGTACACCACTGCGTGGCTAGCCAATAACGGCCTTAATGATGAAAGAATAATGATATGGCTCCCTTCCTCACCTGCCCTAAACCTTATTGAGAACATGTGGGCCCTTCTTTAATGGGAGATTTATGGTGAAGATCAACAGTACACCTCTTTGAACAAAAAGTTGACTGTCAACAGATCAAGAAACTGAGAGACTCCATGAATGAAAGGCTTGACTTGAAAGGAAGGGTGGCTATATTGGTCACTGATTTTTTTTTTTTTTTATGTAAATGTAAGAAATGTTTATTTGTAAATTTTGAGTTCTTATTCTCACTTATGAAAATAAACAAGTGAGATGGGAAAATTTTCATTTAGTTGCAAAACATTTTTGCCCAAAAATTGTGCACACATAGATATTCACCTAAGAGCCAAAACCTCACTTTTACTTTCTTAAATATTTAGGTTTGAGGATTGACAGAGAGCTCTGTAATTGTTCAATAATGAAATTAATCCTCAAAAATACAACTTGCCTAATTGTGAAAACAGTGTAGTGTAAAACATCTTATGATTAATACTAAACAGAAAAGCTTAGACTAAATATTTAGATTTTCTCATGACTGCCTCTTTTTAAGTCTTCTGGAGATGGAGGATTTATGGTCTTCATTGCCCATTCAAATCTCTGTAGATCTGTTCTGGGTGCACTTTCCTTTTATTTTTTTTCCTTTTTAGATATTATCAGTGATCACAGCTCTGTGAATTTTCCCAAGATGGCATTCTTGTCATCCTTAGCCCAGTGTGCCATGTCACTAAAGATTTTACGGCTGAACTTCAGCTTCCTCTGTGGTTCGAACGATGGCTTTCTTGATTGACTGCTCCAGCTTTGGCTTGTATGGGAGCACTTGGAGCCCATTTACTTTCTTTGGGAAGCAGCCAAAACTTCTTTATTGATCTCCTAGTAAGGAGAAAAGTGACTTAAATGAACGAAGCCTTGGTACATTTACTGGATGTTTTTGTTTCTAATTTGAAAGGCATTTTGGATATCAGAAATATGTTTTCCTAGAGGTTTCTGTAACCCCTTATCCTACAGGGAATGTTTAGTATTTTAGTAAATACTGAATGCCAGTGGGTCGGAGAAGAGGAGAAGCAGACTTTCAGTGGTTGCAGGAAGAAAATGGAGAGGATTGGTTAATGTATATGTCTCCCCTCCTGTCCAAGTGTATACCAGAATGCAACCTGTAGGCCGTAAAGACCCCTGGAGAATGGGGCAGGGTCTTCATTGCGACCCCTGATGTTACACCAGTAGATGGGTGGTGTGGTTAAAACGCATCTCAACTATATTTTAATACTCACCCAAACCACAGATGTAAATGAGCCCTTCTGTCCTGAACCCCCCCTATAAGGCTGCTTTCACACTGATGTGCTGCGGTTCACCTGCAGCTCAATGCACCTGCGGCTTTCTTGCAGGTTAGCTGCTTTTTTCCATACACTTCTTTTATATGTTGCAGGTTTGGTGCACTTTTTGAAAGCGCATAAAACTTCTGCATCAGGTTGAGGTGAGAGGGCTTCAAGGTCACAGGTTATGCACCCCTGGTGTGTACATACATATACTGCTCATATAATAGGTGTGTGTGTGTTGTATAAAAACTGGTGCACCAAAATGTAAATTCTGGACAGAAACCGAAAATTCAGGATGCACTTGGCTGAAAACTGAATAGGACATTTAAAAAAAAAAAAAAAAAATATATATATATATCTATGTTTTTTAATATAATCATATTATATTCAACTTTTTAATTAATATCATGAGTTTATATTAATGTAGATGTTAAAAATACAATCCATTAACGTGAAATACCTTTTTTATGGAAAGTAATACACAAAAATCAGACAGAAAATCAAATGAAATATATATAAAATTTTAAAAACTTGCATAGAGGCGTTTATGCATTAAAGTCAATAGGGCGGGATTTTTGCATTGAAGTCAATGGGACGTGATTTTGCATTGAAGTCAAGTGGTGGGGGATGAGGGGCGTCTTTTGCATTGAAGTAAAAAGAGGGGGGGGGGGGGGGGTTGCATTGAAGCCAATAGGACATGATTTTGCATTATCATCTACACCTTTTTTTTTTCCGATCAACAAAATGCCAATAACCATATTTTCGGCGGCCAATTTATCGCTGCGTCACTACTGGCATCCATTTCGTTAGTGAGCCATAAGCCACATCTCCATCTGCAGAGTGTATGGATAGCCCAAATGTTTTTGTTTTCGACAGAGTAGGGAAAGGTTAGCACCTTTTCAAGTTTTTATGGCTGCTTGTGTCTCATTTGGGTAGAGTCACCTTTTCAATTTGTCCTGGTGACTATTGTTGCTGGAACAGAAAGTGATAAAATCCAAAAGTTTACATTTGTCACCAGAACATAGTTGCATACTTTAAAAAAAAAAAAGAGAAGTGCATTGCATTCATAATGGGAACATGAACAAATATATAGAAAAAGTACACATACAGAACCCTGTACCCATGGTTGGTCCAGGAAAAAAGCATGGCACAGTTTGGTCCAACAAAGTAAATGAAAGAAAAATCCTTCCTGACTTTATGGTTAACTCTTTCCAGTTTGCTTTGAAAGGCCAGGTATACCCAGCCCGTTATTTGTTTCTTTTGGATACTATTGGGTAGATATTGTTTTACAGTTTCCTGCTGTCTCTTTTCCAATCATGACTACTTGTTACCCAGACAAGAGAAAGTGACAGACTTCCTTTTTAGAGATTTCACACAATATAAAATAACATAATAAGTGCAAAATGTAGCAATAGAAGTGTGACATCCTTATAGTAACCCTTTCCATTGCTCATGAAGAGCATCAGAAGTCTAGCACAGTAGGGGTCACCGGAGCTTTGGATGTTTATCTGGAGCAGTGTTTCTCAACCTTTTTTCAGTCAAGGCACCCTTTACAATTATGGACAGTCCCGAGGCACCCTTTAAAATGATGGATGGTCCCGAGGCACCCTTTAAAATGATGATCAGTTCCGAGGCACCCTTTAAAATTATGGACAGTCCCGAGGCACCCTTTAAAATTGACAGTCCCGAGGCACCCTTTAAAATGATGGTCAGTCCCGAGGCACCCTTTGAAATGATGGTCAGTCCCGAGGCACCCTTTGAAATGATGGTCAGTCCCGAGGCACCCTTTGAAATGATGGTCAGTCCCGAGGCACCCTTTGAAATGATGGTCAGTCCCCGAGGCACCCTTTGAAATGATGGTCAGTCCCGAGGCACCCTTTGAAATGATGGTCAGTCCCGAGGCACCCTTTGAAATGATGGTCAGTCCCGAGGCACCCTTTGAAATGATGGTCAGTCCCGAGGCACCCTTTAAAATGATGGACAGTCCCGAGGCACCCTTTAAAATGATGGACAGTCCCGAGGCACCCTTTAAAATGATGGACAGTCCCGAGGCACCCTTTAAAATGATGGACAGTCCCGAGGCACCCTTTAAAATGATGGACAGTCCCGAGGCACCCTTTAAAATGATGGACAGTCCCGAGGCACCCTTTAAAATGATGGACAGTCCCGAGGCACCCTTTGAAATGATGGACAGTCCCGAGGCACCCTTTGAAATGATGGACAGTCCCGAGGCACCCTTTGAAATGATGGACAGTCCCGAGGCACCCTTTGAAATGATGGTCAGTCCCGAGGCACCCTTTGAAATGATGGTCAGTCCCGAGGCACCCTTTAAAATGATGGACAGTCCCGAGGCACTCTTTAAAATCATGGACAGTCTAGAGGCACCCCATTTTTGATTGGGGTGCTTCAAGACTGTCCATAATTTTAATGTGAAAACCATTCTAATAGTGTTCTATAACGCAGCAACATTCACACATGTAGGACACCCAACATTGGAGGTGATTTATTCTTCCAAAACTTACACTTTTGCACACTGGTACTGACTAGCGTTCCTGTGTTTCTCCTCTCCCTCAGTTTTTTCCATCACACTGAGCTAATGTGACCCCAGCACTGATGGAGAGGGGCATGAGAGAGTCAAACTAGGATGCTGTGCAGGCAGCTGACACCCTCCTTATCAAGTGATGATGTCATTAGTTGTCAGGACGCCGGCAGCTAGAAGGTGGTAATGGTGCACAATGAAAACCTGTGGCTTTGAGTAACTAATGCAGGTCATACATGGTTCGAATTCTGAACGATTTTCGTACGAAAATGGGACCTAAGAATAATCGGCTGATTTTTGCTCTGTTAGTGGGGCAGTGGCATCGGCCGATTTTCGTGGGTTCCTCCTCATTACGTTTATCGGGTATGCTGGAAAATTCGTGAAAAACTACCAGTTTTCAAAATCATTGGTGACACCATCGGATTACAGAACGAACGACGTTTCGAAAAATCGTTCGGGATTCGAACCATGTGTGGCCTGCATTAAAGGTAGGCTTGTCCTCCTGCTGGCTTGTATACAAGTTTTGGGCAATTTTCATAGATTATGCCAAGGCACCCCGGGGTGCCTGGGCACCCTGGTTGAGAAAGGCTGATCTACAGCAGCGCCCTAAGCTATGCATGTTTAATCCTTCATAGTTTAAATCTGAAGTTTTTTTTATTTTGTTTGTATTTTTTTACACCTTTCATTGACATTTTTGGGCTAATGTTTTGACTTATTGGTGTTGTAACCCAGAACCTTCACCTAAACCAGGGGTCTGCAACCTTTAAGACATAAAGAGCCACTTGGACCCGTTTCCGAGAGGGAAAAAAAGACTGGGAGCCGCAAAACCATTGCAACATTTAAAACAAATCCGACACTGCATATATTGCAAAAAGCGCTCTGGTCATGAAGGGGGTTAAGGGCCCAGTAAGCAAAGGGTTAATCAGGGCCACAGTGTATCGTCATAATCACAATCATAGCCTTAGGTCAGCGGTGGGCAACCTTTTTTTTTCAACTGAGCCAAATCTCGCCAAAACCACGATTGAAATTTATTTTGAGAGCCCCCCATTTTTCCCCCAAAATTCATCCCCTCAAAATACATCCCCCATATAGTAATTCATCCCCCTTATATAGTCATCCCCCATATAATTCATAATTTATTCCCCCCATAGTAACTCATTCCCCCATAGTAACTCATCCCCCATATAGTAACTCATCCCCCATATAGTAACCATCCCCCATATTGTAATTTTGTAACATCCCCCGTATATAGTAATTCATCCCCCATATTAATTCATCCCCCATATTAAGTCCCCAAGTCCCCCCTGTGTCAATTCACTTACCTTTGCTCCGCGCGTTCCTCTCGCCGTTCCCGGTGTAGCATGAAAATCTGTCTCCTATGAGGATCTGTCCCCCTCGACGTATCTGCGCATGTGCCAGTTTCAGGCATTAGCAGCCGATCGGCGATCTCCGGCACATGCGCAGATACGTCGAGGGGGACAGATCCTCAGAGGGGACAGATTTTCATGCTACACCGGTCTTCAGGGCGGACTGTGAGAGGAGCCTAGCGGGAGCCTAGCTCCGCGGGCCGGATTAAAAGGTCCGCCAGGCCGTAGCCGCAGCCAAGGTGAAAAAGAGCCGCATGCGATTTGCCGATTTACAAGACTCCGAAGTTAGTAAAAAGAAAACAGGAGAGGGTTTTCCTTTAACTGAAATTCATCCATATTCTAAACGGTTTACGAAATAAGCCAGGCTTTGATCTTCTCTCATTCCTTTTCTTTAAGTACTCGGATTTGCCATCCAGTAATCCAGCAAAATCCCCAATAAATGCGCTGATGAACATTTGGAAGAAGAATAGACTGCAGTTAATTTGTTTTCAGTGGAAGCTATTAGTTACATTTTTCACGTGCTTGCCTATTTAGCACGAAAAAAAAAAAGTTAACATTTTTTTTTTTTTCCAGAGGTGAAATTTTTTACTGGATTTTTACACTTAGCTGGAATAAAGGTCTTCACTTTTTGGAGTGCCTAGGCACCAGTCACTGGAACCTGTATGTTTTCAGTATCTGTCATTTTCTCTTTATCCATGAGGGCAAGAATCCATGACAGCTGCCTGGCTGTTACTGTGATCGCAATGGAGTTTTTTTTTTTTTGTGTGTTTTTTTGAGCATGTAAGTAAGGAATTCTGATGTACCTAACTTCAATATTGTTTCAGGGCAGTTCACAGCACAAAAAACACTCCAGATCCTTTTCTGATGCATTTCTGCTAGGGCTGCACCGATCCCGGTATCAGTGCCGATACTAAGCATTTGCACGAGTCGTCGTATTCGTGCAAATGCGCCGATACTAAACCGATACCTTGTGCAGTGCGATTTCAAGCCCTGTCCGGTGCGATTTTGTTTGGTGGTCCTGGTGTGCGATTCCAATGAGAATTATAACTATATTATAATTGGGGCAGCACAGTGGCTAAATGGTTAGCACTCCCACCTGGCAGTACTCGGGTCGCTGATTTGAATCCCAACCCCGGCACCACCTCCCTGGAGTTTGAATGTTCTCCCTGTGCCTGCATGGGTTTCCTCCGGGTACTCCGGTTTCCTCACACGCCAAAGACATACTGGTAGGTTCATTGGCTCCTGTCTAAATTGGCCCTAGTATGTGTATGTATGAATGTGAATTAGAGACCTTTAGATTGTACACCCCTTGAGGGTTAGGGACCTTAGATTGTACGCCCCTTGAGGGTTAGGGACCTTAGATTGTACGCCCCTTGAGGGTTAGGGACCTTAGATTGTAACGCCCCTTGAGGGTTAGGGACCTTAGATTGTACGCCCCTTGAGGGTTAGGGACCTTAGATTGTACGCCCCTTGAGGGTTAGGGACCTTAGATTGTACTCCCCTTGAGGGTTTAGGGACCTTAGATTGTACGCCCCTTGAGGGTTAGGGACCTTAGATTGTACGCCCCTTGAGGTTAGGGACCTTAGATTGTACGCCCCTTGAGGGTTAGGGACTGATGTGAATGTATAATATATATGTAAAGCGCTGCGTGAATTAATGGCGCTATATAAGCACCTGAAATAAATAATTAATGAGATTAGAAATCGCACAGGACTTTTTTTTTTTTTTTTTTCAAATCACACTGCAGCGTATGTGAACAGCCTGGTAAAAACAACAAAACTCACATGAAAACTGATGTTATACTGATGTATCTGCATCTGTGTGCAGTTTTCCCATCAGTTTTTTTTTTTTTTTTTTTTTTTTTTTTTTTTTTTTTTTTTGCATGTATGAATGTGAACGCGCCCTAAAAAAATTCGACACTAAAAATAGGTATCGGTAATTGATATCGGCGAGCACTTGAGAAAAAAGTATCGATACTCCTACTTGGTCTTAAAAATCTGGTATCGGTGCATCCTTGGTTTCTGCATGCACGTTAAGGAGATTTTAATGTGTTCCGGTGCATTTTTGATGCATTTCCAGGTGCTTTATTTTTTTTTTTTTACTGTACTGGGGTCTGGTGCCTTTTGGTTGTTTTACCGCATTCCAGTACAGTTCTGTGCAGAAAAAAAGCAGCCTGTGTTTTTTTTGTGTGTTTTTGCTTTTGTGGGTTTTTTTTTTTTTTTTTTTTGTTCTGGAACTGAAAAGCACTGGAATGCATTGCACTGGTGCAAACTATGCCATTGGAACCTGTATAACCTTCTTCTTCTTTCCGTGCATTTTCTGTTGCAGAAAAAAAATGCACTACATGTGGTGTGAACGGTCCTCAGGCCAGTGGCTCAAAGTACAGCAACTTTCAGCAGATGGGCAGCAGCTGCAGTCCAAGCATTTCATTTTGCAGAGGTTTCCTTTAAGGCAGTGGTTGTCAACCTTCCTAATGCCGTGACCCTTTAATACAGTTCCTCATGTTGTGGTGACCCCCAACCATAAAATTATTTACCCAGTAATTATAATTCATGTGTGTCGTTTTACCTCCAATACTGCTGTTTTCTGCACAGTAGGCTGCTTTCTGCACAGTAGCTACTTTCTGCACAGTAGCTGCTTTCTGCACAGTAGCTGCTTTCTGCACAGTAGCTGCTTTCTGCACAGTAGCTGCTTTCTGCACAGTAGCTGCTCTTTACACATCGGAAATTTCCGATGGTCTTAGGCGACCCCTGTGAAAGGGTCGTTCGACCCCCAAAGGAGTTGCGACCCACAGGTTGAGAACCACTGCTTTAAGGTATGGGTGTTCAACCTGCGGCCCTCCAGCTGTTGCGAAACTACAAGTCCCATCATGCCCTCTACCTTTTGGGAGTCGTGCTGGTAACGGTCAGTGGCTTGTTAATGCCTCATGGGACTTGTAGTTCTGCAACAGCTGGAGGGCCACAGGTTGGACACCCATGCTTTAAGGTCTTGTTCGCACAGGCCTCCAATTGTATAACAGCCGTGTGTACAGCAAAGATTTATAGTAGTAAAATGT